TTCAAGACTTTTCGTAATCCCGCTGAAAGATTATATTTTGATTTCGAGGAAAGAACAAACCACTATCGCTTAACAATATCACAACAATATTATAAATATTATATTAGTTTTTTAAATCGTACATCATATTAGAGTGTTACCTACAGAAGGTGTTCGTTTTTGGAATTTCTCCCAGTTCTGCATATATAACAACAATTGAATACTATTTTTGACCTTTGAAATATCATTGATCAGTTACCAAACATCCTGTCTATGATGATCCGAAAATAAAGGGTGTTTTTTGAACATGCGGCAAAAATTTAAGGGACTATCTGTTTAAAACCTGTTTTTCCGTTAATCAGCCGTCGCCCCTCTACGAACGACAACTCTCAGAAGTTGACAAACTTGTGCGAGCTAAGGACTAATGAGGTCTTATTTTTTAACGTGTGATTCCTAACACGGTTGCAGAATCATCCCAGCTTCAACCACATAAATTCTGTCGAGAAAAATATCTGGTCGAGGCGGAAATCGAACCCACGGCCTTCCGATCGTGAGTCGGGCCCACTACCACCGCGGACAATTCCATGGACTATTTTAAGGACATTTTCTCCTTTAATGATTTTTGATAGGGCGCTTTGTTTCGAAAATACGGAGCTAAAAAAGAATTTCGACAATAACAGTTTATTACCAAAAATTACAGGTAATGTTTCTTAATCTACAAGCAGAACTCTCGAAAACACCAGGATCGTTTCTTCCACTGTAATCGGAATGTTTTTGATCGGTACCAACGGAATTGTTAGATTTTTTATTACTTGATAGGTCCAGTCTAGGCCTTTATTTCGGCTACGTTAATAATTTTGAAATTACCAAAATTGTTGTTGTTGTTGTCGAAATTCTTTGTCGCCCCGTATCTTCGAAACAAAGCGCCATATCAAAAATCATCACAGGACAAAATATCCACAGAATAGTTCAAGGAATAGTCCCTTAATTTTTTTCCGCGTGTTTAATAAACACCCTGTATATTTTTGAAGATGATTGACAAAATTACAACCATTTGAATAGTGATCTCTACTTTCCGGCTGTATTGTTGACTCACCCCTCACATCTTGTTTCGAAGAAGACTGTGCCCACGATAACGATCACATTTGTTTTTTCATCCACAGATGCAAGTAATCCTGTACCATAATCAAAGCGGCGAGGCGGCCTTTTCCGGTGACCTGAAACAAAAAGAAGTCCACAGAGCCATCACGCTGCATCCTGTCAAGCAGCCGCACTCCATGTACCGACTACACAAATACCTCAAGGTTCGTACTTTTCATTTCCGTCCTTAAAGTATTTGCTTTTCCCAGCAAACTTATTTCGCAAGAAAAACGGGCAAGCACGGTCTTTTATTAGTTATAATTTAGTTTCGGTCTAGTCGAATAATTGTGATTATGATTGTACTTCGGTTATTTGCTTTCCAGGAGACACCACAAACCTCGAAGTGTTTTTCAATGCAATATTTATCTAACTTTAGACTCTTACACTTTAAACCTTAAGGATGGACGATGACCTAGGAGGACAATTCCTCGTGAGGATGTACAATGGGTTACATGTGGCCCAAGTGCTGTGGACCTACACTCTCACCCTCCCTACTCTACAGAGATACAGATAAAATAATTGACAATGTGACAACAAACTAAGCTATTCAAAAAATGAGGTGAATTTTCATTTTCTCCAAGAAATATTTATTTTTTCATTAATTTCTACTTTGACCTCTTTAAAGTAGTATTCCTCAGATATAATACACGTCTGCCAGCGTTTTTTCAATCCTCCAAGCAGTTCTGATATGCTCGAGGATCGGTATTTCTTTCATGAAATGAAATAAATGTACTGTTTTTCGAATTGCATGTTTGTAGTTTTCATCGACAGAAACAGTTTTTCTTCCTAGAGATAGTTTTGGCGATGGTTTCATTTTTTCTCTAATTCTTGAATTGGTGATTTTGAAACTTGAACAGACAGTTCAAAGAAGAGAATTAGTGGGAAAGAAAAAGAGAAAAAAGAAGAATACCAATAGACTATTTGGTAATATTTTATGACCCTACGCAAGTTATATGTAGCTTTTCTTGTTCATCTTTTATTACAACCAAGTGTCCATATCAATTATGAACCAGTGAAAAACGAAAAATCACTTCATCTTTCAACAATTATGTAAGATTCCTTATCTTCCAAAATTTGAAGTATTTTTATCATTTTAGTGGTACTCTAATTAGGAACAATAATTTAAATGCATGTTGTGCCTTATCAAATTATAGAAGACATTACTTGAAAGATAAACGGATAAATTGAAAAGATGAGCCTATTTTTTCGCCAATATCACACCTAATGGGTTCAAAGTCGATGGCCTTCAGAGAGGCCAACAATTTCGCGCGACCTCTACACGCAATCCTCTTATGGAGTGTTGATAATTTCAATTAACTTGTATGCACTCAAGTCTGAGTATCAATTTGTTTAACAACTAGGTAAACTTGGTATTTCGAAATAAGTACATAGTGTAACGAATTAAAGAATTAACTGTCTTAAACAAATTTATTTTTAACAATATTTCACTACCACAACTAATTTATATAAAACACTTAGCAACTAACGCTTAATTTATCTTCACAGTGTTCGAATTCTTTCTTAAAACGCACGATTCACTTCCTAGATACAGACTCACTCCCTCTAGGGGCGGGAGGCCGGCTTTATATAGCGACAACGATCACTTCAGATCTCTCTCGTCGTTTCGGCACTCATCTAGAATTTTCGGTCAGGGTCAGGGCCGGCTTCAGATTCATTACAACAGAAAAACGATGAAAATTTTTGCATATAACACATGGGCTAATGTGGATTCACATGAATATTTTTTACGAAAACCAGATTGATTATTTACTAAATTTTCATTTTTTTCTATCTTTATGTTGGTAATATTTTAAGATTTTTTCGAGTGATTTTTCAGTTTTTGAGCAGTGTATTCATGTTGATTATTGGGTTTCCTTGTAATTCCGTGAGATAGCAGCGTTTTTTAAATAATTTTTCTTTATCTCATTCACGCGTAATTCTGAATGTAATACCAGGAATCATATCAAAGAAACAGAAATGAGCATATCCAAATATTTGTTTTATTCCTTCTGAAAATAACTGATATCATTGGAAGCTACCAAGAATTCCATTCATCTTTCGAAGGTGAATGAATCGTGTGTGATATGATGAACAATTTGAAATCAGAAATCAAGTATGGACAGGACTTTTTTAATATTTGAAATATTTGATGAACATAATATGTAAGAATAAAAACACAATTAAATAATTAGATTTTCTATTCAGCTTTTATTTGAAATTTAACAGTCTCAATTTATTATTTTTTGATTGACTATATCGGTAATAATAATAATAACTTTATTCGTCTTTTCGATCATTTATATATATATATATATTCCGAAAATAAAGGGTGTT